GTATCTAGTCGAAGACATTACCCTTCAAAATTGAAAAAAATTCCCCCGTTCCCCGTAAATGGGGGAAACCTCCAAAAAAATTACAAATTTAAAAATCGCTAATTTTCGAAATTTTTTCAATTTTTTTTACTAAAAACTGCCGTAACTTTTTCAAAAATGAACATATCAATATAATTTTTTTTTATATAGATGCTTGATGTCTTTACCTATCATTTGGTATATTTTTTTTGTAAATCTGACACTTAACCTGCCCACAGGGGGGGATTTAAAATGACAACTTTTTCACAAAAAATTAACTTTTTCAACTTAACTTTTGAAAATGTTCCGGAAGGTCTGACACTTTTATATATATCTTAAATTAAAGCTAATGTAATATACTTTAATTTGAAAAAAAAAAATTTGACCTCTGGACTTGTCTTCGTGGTGAAAGTTGACATCAAAGTTAATAAAAAATTACGATTTTTGTAAAATAATTTTTTTTTATATTTTTAACTTAATAATGCTCTAACTTTTTCAAAAATGAACATATCAATATAATTTTTTTTTATATAGATGCTTGATGTCTTTACTTATCATTTGGTATATTTTTTTTGTAAATCTGACACTTAATCTGCCCACAGGGGGGGATTTAAAATGACAACTTTTTCACAAAAAATTAACTTTTTCAACTTAACTTTTGAAAATGTTCCGGAAGGTCTGACACTTTTATATATATCTTAAATTAAAGCTTATGTAATATACTTTAATTTGAAAAAAAAAAATTTGACCTCTGGACTTGTCTTCGTGGTGAAAGTTGACATCAAAGTTAATAAAAAATTACGATTTTTGTAAAATAATTTTTTTTTATATTTTTAACTTAATAATGCTCTAACTTTTTCAAAAATGAACATATCAATATAATTTTTTTTTTATAGATGCTTGATGTCTTTACCTATCATTTGGTATATTTTTTTGTAAATTTGACCTTTTTTCTGCCCACAGAGGGGGATTTAAAATGACAACTTTTTCACAAAAAATTAACTTTTTCAACTTAACTTTTGAAAATGTTCCGGAATGTCTGACACTTTTATATATATCTTAAATTAAAGCTAATATAATATACTTTAATTTGAAAAAAAAAAATTTGACCTCTGGACTTGTCTTCACGGCGAAAATGGCTACCGAATGCTATTTTCGTGTGAAAATTCTCGATTTTATTATTTATATTATATTTAACTTTATAATGCTATAACTTATTGAAAAGTTTATGGATCCACACAAATTTTTTTTGAGAAATAATATTTTTTAATAAACCCTTTTTCATTCGATATACTTTATCTTAATATCTCGATTAAGATAAAGTATGTCGATCAAGTAGCTTTTGGAATAAAACACCAATTTTTTTAAAATTAAACACTATCTAAAGATTTGCATCGAAGCGTTTATTTTTGATAGTGATTTTAATCACTGTCAGATATCATTATACTTGATTCAACTATACCACGTCACAACTGTGCCGCGACCCCCCTGTGCTGGGTTTTTAAAGATTGTCATTGAAACGTTTTTTTAAAGTATAACTTAAATTTATAATAATACCTCAAAGCGTTTGATCAAAAACGAGGAATATCATCTAATTGTTATAGTTATTATATGTTGAAAGTAAATTTAAAGCTAAATATTTTTATTCAAGGTGGCTAAGTTTCAATAGCTTTTTTATTATTCGCTGAACCTTTTTTGATAGTTTCCATTTTTATGGATCAGAGTTTTACGTAATCAAGGCTTTGAAGTAGATTATGAATTTAAATTGCCAAAGAAAAAAATTGTTGTTTAAATAGTTGATTTTTTTAAAACTATTTAAACAAGTTTTTTTTTTAGTGTAAAATAATATGAATAAATCCTTACTATAAACAAAAATAATAAAATAGCGTTTATAATTTAATATGTTTGTAACAAAATGCGTTAAAAATGCAATTACTTCGTATTTTGCTGTGTAACAAAAAAAAAAAACATTAAGTCCATTAAAAATCAATACTCTTATTAGCGTGATAAATTTAAAGAACTGAAAAAAATATTAAAAACAACTCAGTAAAGTTAACCCGGCATAGTAAACATGATTATTGATCAAAATATGACAGTAATCAATATCACTAATATAAAACACCTCGATATAAATGTGACAAAATACTTCTATCTAAAAAATGTATTTAAAAAATGTTATGGCACTTAATATTTAATAAAAATTTTCAATTTTACGTAATTTCAAAATAAACAAATTTGAGGCACTTTTGCAAAAAAAAAAAGTTAGAAATTATTTTTGACTTTTGAAGGTCATCTATTGGAGATAATTTGAGTTCTTTTGGTGTATAATATAACAATATTGATCACAAAGGAGCTTACATTAGGCGAAAAACAAGGAAATACATCATAGGTACAAATATTACCTTCTCTGCTCCACAAAAAGATTGAACACTTTAGCTTTGATGCGAAGGATTAATTTTACTATGTTAGCTTTGATGCGATGCTGAAAAGGTATTAATTTTACTTTGATGATTTTTTTTTTTTTTTTGTGTCTGTTACCACTTTTTCTCGGCTCTCATCGAACCGATTTCTTTCAACGATACGTCAAAAGATCACAAATCGTATCTAGTCGAAGACATTACCCTCAAAAATTGAAAAAATTTCCCTCGTTC